GTAGTCAGGGCAGCTGTCCCACTAGCTACCAGACTCAGTTTCTTTGGGGAACTAGCATGGTTTGCTGCCTGGGAAAAAGGTAACGGGTTGTTCATTAAGTAATTTGTGTAATGCTTGACTGAAAAGCAATGTATGTTTTCAAGCATAAAATAACATGCAGAAGCAGGATCACATACAGAATTGGCACAATAGTATACTTAGTCTTCAACTGTAGAGAACTGCAAAGAAAATTTCCTGAACCTCTCAGTCCATCAGTCATGCTTGTTCAAATAAAGTGGTAAGTTTGTTTCTCTGCTAGTTACTGACCCCAAAGTCATGAGTAAGGGATCGTGAATAATGTGTAAAGGCTGTAACTGGTTCAGAAAACCTTTAACTGACTAATTAAAAAAAGCCCTATACGGGACTGCAGTGAATCACCCAAAATGTTCCTAACGCAGACTGACATTTTGATTTTCCTCAAAGTTTGAAGCAAGGCTGTTGGTATGATCACAGTTTGAGTTAGGGTACAATTACTTTCTCCCAACAACTCGTTCATTCCTCCAAAGAGTGCTGACACAATGAGATCTCTGATCGGGGTTTAACGCTAAGTCTCATAGCCCTGAAGCAGCAGAAAAATCTCTATTTCCTGAACATTTCACTGACCTGTGGTGTTAAAGACTTGCCAACTAAGACAAACCATTAAATGGCAGGGAACCACAACAGTAAAAATATTGCATGAGGTAGCTATGGCTGCTAAGACTTCAGGGTATGAATCCAAAAATATTTTATCATCTTTAGTGGATTTTCAGAGGTGTGGATTGAATTCCCCATTGGAGAGGTAGAATTTGAGGCACACCACACATGTGGACGTGGCACCAAGTTCTCTCATGATCCACGTGTGTACCGGGACATCCCTGCGGTGCGCTGGGCAGCGCGTATCGCTGTCAGGACAGCCCAGCGCTGATGCGACTTGTGGAGCACGTGCCCTGTATCTGTGTGCTCCCACTCTTACAGTACTTCAGCTAAAATGATGCTGTTGCTCTTTTGCAGGTTTTTCCCTCTCCGCCATTGAAGCAGGTTTAATTATATGCAATAAAGAGCTATCTGTACTTGTAGGCTTCAGATTAAATTAGTCAAGCTGAGGCTTAATCTTCTCAGTTTGCAAGCGGGGAGTGGACCAGTCGTTTGTCCCATTTGCTGCATAACAGAATTACAGGGTAATTAAGGCCAGAATGGATCTCAGGAGGTCATTGAGCACAACTTCCTGCTCAACCCAAAATCTGTGGTGTTTAGGTACCACCTGGGTTGCAGCACTGGCACTGGAGAAAAAGAGTCTGCTTCAGCATATCCAGGCTGTGAACCATGTTTTGTATCGGGGGCTGTGCTCTACCATCATATCAGCACTATGATTTTTAGCTCATCCTTACAATAAAAAAACCATTTTTGTTGATGACTTTTCTTCAAACATCCACTTTTAGTTTCCTCATTAAAAAAGTCTCATTTATGCACATTCTAAAGATAATAAATGTGTTGACAGTTTGGTGCAAGTTTTCTCTGTTCAAAATTTCCTCAAATTGTCCTATATATGGGCCTTAGACTTCTCAGTTTATTCCTCCTGCTTTCCATTAACTCTCTGAGTGTGCATCAAAAGATTTCTTTTCATTACCAGCAAAAACAATAGGTTAAAGTAGAGAGAGATTTCTGAATGCAATCGTATTTTTCACTTTATTCACAGCCTCCCTCATCCTTTTGCCAAAAGCTCACCATAATGAGCGTATCCAGAGGGGTTAAAGGAAAAGCAAATATTGATTGTCTCGAGCTAAAGTTTGCACATTTGCAACTATAAAAGTGAAGCAGTGAGCCAGATGGAGCCACATCACGATAGTTAAGTGTAAAGGTCAGGGAGTGAGCTGCAGAGTGGTTATATTCAACAGGGCTTCAATGCTTAAAGAACAGGGATTGCTTCTGCTGACAGTTTTGTTAGACACTGGTTAACTGCCACCAGGTATATGCATCCAAATAGAAGCATCTATCATCATTAGAATGATAACCTCCAAATACATTTATTTCTTGTTTGGTTGGGCTTATTCTTGTTCTTACTCTTAATCTCCATGGACTTCGGACTCAACCTAAACATAATTTGATTTTTATGGTTGGCTTCATTAGCTTTTAGTGCAATTTCAGTGGCTTGGTTACTAAATCAAATCCACTCTGATTGTGCTTGCATATGCTTCACAGGCCTCCTGAATACAGCAGATGACTTGGAGGCCCGTTTCTCCTTTATTTTATGCATTTTGAACCAACAAATCCTTTTGATTTCTACCTTCTTCGTGAAGCTAGTGCTCTTGTGTTGGCACAGACTGTTTGAATTTAGCAGTACAGAAACAAAGATGAAAACATTCTGCCTGGAGGAAAACCAATGTCAAATATTCCCACTTGACTGTCCTTGTCAGGACATCTTCATATTGCATTGCTTAGACAGTTCCCAATGTATGTCTCTATCAGAACTCTCATGATGTATTTAGTTTTTTCCTTTTTCTTTTCCTCAAAGAACTATAAAAAATTATCTTTGAGAGTTTTTCTTTTTTAGGGAGATTTCTTAATACATACTGTGGTGACTTCTTTTCACAAAGATCACCTGGAGGAGGAATCTCTCCATTAAATATTTACTACTTTGTCATCAGACAACATGGTTAGTATTCGCTGGATTAAATCCCCAGCATTTGCTGGCTTCCCCCTTCCTGAGATTTTTACTGTTTCAACAACGGTGAAGAGTTAGCTGCATTAATAGGGATATACATTTAACCTGTAACAGTCCAGAGCAGTGGCCAAAGTGAACGCTTATTGTTAAATAGTGAAGTATTTTCCGTTCCTTTGCACAGTGGTCCTTTGGGATCCGAGGGCTAAACAGCAAACGGGGCGAGAGAGCTCTGGTTACACAGCTTGCTTAGGCCGCCTCTGCTCCGGCAGTCCTTCGCTGATCCACATGTTAGCACGGAAAAGACAACCGACTCGCTGAGGGGGAGCTTGAAACACTTAGGGAAAAAGTCAAGAGTTATTTAGTGTTTTCTTCTTGCACCAGAAAGCTGTGGCAGGAGCAGCATGAGGTGTTGGAGGCCTGGGCACTCTCTCCCCCTGTGAGGCTCTTTGCGTTTTCTCAGGTGTAGGGTGCTGGGGGAGGTCCTGCCTGGTGGGGTGAGCACCCTGGGAGGGACCCATGGGATGAAAGGACGCAGAGCCGGGGCAGGCAGGGCCCTCCTTGGGGCTGTGGCCTGGCCATGGAGCAGCAGCTTGAGTCCCTCTTGGGGACAGGCTGCCCGGAGAGCCGAGCACATCTGTCAGCTCATTGTCTGCACAGAGCTGAGAACAAAGAGGAAAACAACAGAAAAAATGCAAAATGCATTTAAAAATACTCTTTCATTTCCCTTTTCGCCAGAAGCAGAAGTACTTAAATAACAGAGGACAAAAGCAGCTCTTGCAGAATTTCCAAGAATTGGGAAAAATAAAAAATCCTGTGAGAAGGACCGTTTTCAGGACGTTTCCACCCCTGTTCTGCCAGACCTGGGAGTGCAGTCTGGGGAACCCCTGCCGAAATGTGCCTGGGAGATACCTCCCCCTCTCTAAAGCAAACCCCAGCCTTGTGGCTGCAGGATTTCAAGTCAAGTTGGTTTATTGTTTGGATACGTGTCCCTTATTCATTTTAAAATCAAGCTTTCAGAAAGGTATGAGGCAATTTCAAATTTTTTTTTCCCCATCAGTATTTTTCTTCTGCAAATTGCTTGGCCAAAAGGCTCAGCAGAATATAAAAATCAAAGGGGTAGAGATTAAAATCTGATACAAAAAAAAAAAGTAATAAGGAAGTCATTGCTAAAAGATGTTTCTGGGAAGTGTGTGTGACAGTAGATTTAAAAAATATTTGTAACCAGATGAGGCACCCAGTCTGTGTACAAATGTCCTGTCACTGCTGATGTACTTTTATAGCATGGGGGTTACTTTGATGGTATTCCATACAAGGGGATCAAATTTTATTTTCCTCTATAAATAGAGTTTTGTGTAACTTTGAATGGATACGAGCTGTGTGGATGTAATTAAGAGCAGAAAGACTTCCAGTGGTTTGGGGTGTGAGGCTGTCACACATGCAATGAGGTGCTTTTACACTGAGTACAGTGAATATTTGGTGCTTTAGGATTGCTGGTGGCACTGTCACAGCCCGCAGTGGTGGCAGTGCTGAGGTGTGGATCCACTGCTGGAGATGTTGGGCTTGTTCCTCAATCAGAGGAGATGTTTTGCTAGGTATCCATGTGCTGAGGTTTCATATTGCTCATGTAAGAAACCAGCATAAATAGTAAGAGGGCATGGGTAATAGAAATCAAGCACCCTAGTGTGGTTTTCCAGTTACAGTAAGGATCTGTCCTTGTTGAACCACTTCTAGAAAAATCTACAGTCCTGTGAGAATTTGGAGCATCTGCCAGTTTCACAGTGCAACACCTCTGAAAACCAGTCCGAAGTGGGTTAGTTTGCTTGCTTTCGTCTTCATACACCCCATATGAGATCTGGATTTTTAGTTAGTCCTTGCTCTGCCTCCTTGCCCATTCCACCACTTGCCACACTGGTGGGGAGCTATATGGTCTTAGCTTAAAATAACAGAAAGTTTGCTGAGCTGCTGACCAAATGCGACCATTAAGAAGTGATCTAACCTTCTGATGCCCTCCAAGCTTGCTGAAATCAAGTCTGGTAAAAAGTAGATGTTGCACCTGTGCTAAATATTCTATTCCTCACTTTACCTAATTTCTGCATAAACATTTAATTTTCATATGTATGTAAGCCTTTTCCTGATGAAAGAAATGTTCAATGATATGTTTAATTTAAATGCTGTTGCTTTTGGTTAGAACAGGGGAAGTACTTGAAATTCAGTCAGTTTCGAGAGCTTTGCTTGGTGCCCTTAATTTGTCTCCTTTTTTTAAGCCAAACTGTATGATTTAAAAAAATACGATGAGGTTAATATTGTGATATTCTTCTAGATGGGCAGCAGATCTGGGAAATGGAGGCAACAGTGGACAAAGATAAGAGCCAGCCTGTAAGTATGCAAAATACTGGATGTCCTCTCCTTGAGCTTCTGACAGCAAGTTGTATTCAAGGAGTAGTTTTCAAAGAGCATCTCAAAAGCAGAAAGAGCAGTTATCTTACTGCTGTGATGAACAAATGTCAAATGCTTCAGCAGTAAATGTGTTGCAAAAAGAAACTATTCATTTAGCAGTAACCCACAGCAAATTGACTAACTGCTCCATTTTGTGTTCTTGCAGAAGACTCCATTGTACCAGCCCAGTCCTCTGCAGGATGCTGGCTGTCCTGACTTCCTTTCGCCTGTATGGAAGTCTTGGGTGCTCTGTACTTTGCAGGACAGGATTTGTACTATAGTATTTAATATGAACATTGATCTTTAAAGGGAATGAGCCTCTTTGTTCACTTTGTTTAATAGGACCCTACTGTAGTCGCTCAGTGCATTTAGGAGCTAGCACTTACATTGCCATGGGCCATGCCTGCCCTTGCGGAAGAGAACGGGTGACTTGCTCTTAACTTCCATGGGAGTGGGATCCGGCTGCATATAAGTAAAAAGCCTATAGAATAGTGAAGTTTATTCTAACAAAAAGGGGGAAATCAAGTACATACTTGTTTATCAAGCACAGTGTAATTAAGAGTGCTGCCGCATTTATCACCGTTCTGTGTGTTTTATTTGTAGCTGAGGCTTCTCTGTCCAAGTTCAGGACAACACCAAGTACAAGAAAGGATACATTACATAGAAACCAGCTGCCTAGTACCAAAAATCTTCTAGTCTTTCGTCATCTGCCATATTTTTTTCCTTTCTTCTTCTCATACCCTTCTTTATAGAAAGATTTCTCTTCCTTTATGCCTGGACACATAACAGGGGAGATGCATGCAAAAGTCTTCAGTCACCCTCAGTTACTAATTCCAAATTGTCAACTTTTGTTGTTCCAGAGCATGCTTTTTGTAGAAATACCAGAGTACCGTAACAAGCACATTCGCACAGCTGTGAAGGTGAATTTCTACGTCATCAATGGGAAAAGAAAAAGAAGCCAGCCCCAACATTTTACCTATCACCCAGGTAACTTTCAAGGCCAGAGCAAGTTTTGGCCTAGTTTTCATAAGCAAGACTTTATTTTCTTGTATGTTGTTTTCTTCCTATTATTTGAAGATCTAAATTTTACTGATTTGATTCAGCTGAGTGTAGCTAAGCACTCAACAACTGTTTGGTTTAAAGGATGCTTGTGATTTATGATCAGGAATTTCCTATAAATTTAAGGGGGCAATTAGCTTGGCAATGCGCTGATGCTGCCCCATTCACTTGATGGAAGTTTGCCAACAACCTTGGTGGGAGCAGACTCAGTCTGTGACACAATGTGACCCTGTGAAAACCGTGAGCATTGCCTTCCCCAGCTGACATGAAAAACAGTAAGATAACATCAGATCTGGGAAAGTAACAAGGGCTTGGTATGGAGGAATATGAGTAATATATAGTCTTCAGAATAAGACTGGTTAAGAAAAATATGAATGCTTTACTGATGCTCTTCCTCTTGGGAATTGGTGAGCTATGTCATAATAAATGCAATAGGATTACTAATGAGATTCCCAGAATTTCTCAGCTTTGGCTGGGAGAAAAACATTGTGAGAAAATCAGAGTATTGTGTTTGTGGAAAACAGAAAGCATAAAATAACAGTACCAGATTATATGCAAGTTTCAGAATGATGTCTTAATTTGACTAGTTTCTAAGGACAGTCAAACATTCATTCTGATTATTCTTTTGGTCTCCTCCAGCCTGAAACTCTCTGGTCCTCTCCTTGAATTTTTGAACTATATAGGGTATTACCAATGTGAAGGTTTTGTATAGTTGCTAAATTGTTCTTCTATGGAATAGCATTGAGAAGCACAGTAATATCTCAATAGGATCCCTAAAATAGACCACTTCAGAGAAGGAATCCTTACACTTCTAAAAAAAATAGCCCTGTTGAATGACCTGGTATTTCTGTACTGAGTTTTGGTGAAGATTTGATTAAAAAAATCATTAGAAATGTGAGAATTTGTTTGTAGAGGACCATCATTTAGCCATACCAAGGTTCACGTAACTCTTACAACATCATGGTCTTTTAAATGATGGTGTCAGAAAGGTCTTCAGCTCTCAGTACTGAGGAAGTTACATGCAGCAAAGAAGCTTAAAAAGAAAGCTCTAAAATAGTTCAACTCTGCCTTTGGTCACTAGTTAAATATTTGACAGAAAAATGAGTTGTATATGTCATAGGTTTTCTATTTATTCAGTCTTCCTTTGAGATGGAAGTACTACATGAAGCACCTATCTATGGCTTCTTATTTTGCCTACATTCCAGAATGGCCCTTGAAAGAAAAAATGAGCTAAAGTATTGAAGTTTTCAATTTTTAGAAATTTATGATTAAATGGTTCATTAAGGATTTTCAAGAACCTCTTAGTACAGAGTGCTTTCAGGAGACACTGTGCCATGATTGCATATACATGATTTATAAAACTCAATGCCTGTGAGATATGAGCTGGCACATGCAAATCTTGTGAATGGCTTAAATCTCTCATTACTTCAAGGAAAACTTTTCTGTTTCTCATCAGCTTGTTACGAATAATGTCCTTTGCATACTTTATTCTAGTACCGTCAATCAAAACAGAGCCCATTGATGACTATGATCCAGCCTTAATCTGCAATACAGTACACAGTGGTCTGGGAACAGTAACACAGCCTTACTATTCACAGCACACAATGGTCACCGAAGCCCCTTCCTGTCTTGTGGCCACTATGGCTCCTTGCCAGCAGTTGCGCTCAGGTCTTTCTTCTCCTGATTCTCGATACCATCAGCAGAATCCAGCCGCTGTAATATACCAAAGAAGCAAGAGCCTTAGCCCGAGCCAACTGGGCTACCAGCAATCCAATTTGATGGCTACATCAGTTGCTATTTCAGATGCCCATAGGTCAGTGCTGGTGCACGCTAGTTCTCCAGGCCAAACTTCAGCAGTGCTCCACCACTCTCCAGGAAACCAGCAGTCTTCTCCAGTGATCCACTATTCTCCAACCAACCAGCAGCTGAGGTGTGGAAGTCACCAAGAATTTCAGCACATCATGTGCTGTGAAAATTTTACATCCAACGTTGCAAGATCCAGCCAGCCCCAGGTCAGTCAAGCACAAAGGTTAAGTCCAAGTTCATATCCTACCGTGATTCAGCAGCAGACAGCCTCGGGCCAGCGAGCAGCAAAAAATGGACCACCGGTTAGTGACCAGAAAGAAGTGTTACCAGCTGGAGTCACTATTAAACAGGAACAGAATCTGGACCAAGCGTATCTGGATGACGGTAAGCACCGTCTTCTCTTGCATGGGTCAGTTTGTTGGGGGGAGGGAGGAAGTTTAGGACTTGTAAATTCCACCTGTTCCTCAGCACAAAACCAATGTGGCCTGCTTTTGACAGGTGTGGATATTTACTGTTTGCTCATGCTGCATTTTTTTGTTTCATCAACTGCATTTTTGGTAAATGGCAGTGCACTTTGGCAACTGAGCAAAAAACTTAGTGTTCTGCAGAAACCCTATGTCTTGCTCCATGGAGGGAGCTGTCAGGTTTCAAGCTGTTGCCATTTTGTTCCCATTTGCCAAAGGTTAGTTTGGAAAATGGAGAATCTGAAACAAAATGCACTTGTAAATTATTTTTTTATTATTCATATCAGGGAAAAGTCCACTTTGTAAAATGCTTTTGTACATTTTGTACCAAAAAAGCCCATTGAGCAGTCTATCACGGCCTGTAATGAATGGGGTAGTGCTGCAGGCAAAACTATTGCAGATGTTCTAAATGAACAGTAGGACATTGATAAGTAAAACAATGCCATTTCTTTGTTGTTAGCCAGCAGATTTAGCCTTTAGGAATGAATATAAGTTAGAGTGAAGCTTCCTTTTAACATATCCTGCTTATTCTTAGGTAGGCAGCTATTGGCAATCTGGTTGATTGGTTCTTTTATTAAAATATGTTCCTTGCAGGAGGAAATCAATGCAAAGCTAATAGTGCAGCTGGACGCTGCAATCATAAAAGCCAGTAGCAAACGCGACATTGATTTTAGTGGGAGCAGGGTGAGGTTGCTGGATATATTGCTGTGTATAGGGTGTTCTTATGCAGGAAGTACAAAGCTGATTTTCATATATATTTACTGCTTCTATCCTCTCAGTCTAGGCAGTTGCACGCTCAGTTTGAACTTGTGAATATGCACTGTTATGTGCTTTGTAAGCACCGAATAGTTTGGATTTTATTACTGTAGTTACTCACCTGGAGTTGTGAAATTGTGCACATGAAAGTTTTACTTTCTTCGACTTAGATACCAAGTGCTGTGTGGCTGTATCATGTACAGTTTTCATTGCTGTTTTTGTGGGCAGAGTAGAGCTGGATAGTTTTCTCCACAAGTCTGTGTTTGAAATGTGGTTGACATAGCTTTGGTGCCATCACAGTAAAATCTGGAGTGTTTTTACTGGTCCCCTTGTCTGAAGAGTTGTGTTTAATTGGGTTTTAACAGTGAATTTGATTTAGGAGATTGGCTAGATCTGCAAGATAATAGCTAAGTAAAATCCATTTCCTCTTCAAGGAGGCATGATAACAAAGCTAGATAATCTGTCTAACAGTAAAACTGACCACTGTTTTAAGTTGCTTTTATATGAGAAGCTGAGAGATTCCGTCACATTTCTAAAAATACTTGGTACAAACCTTGTTAGAGAAATAAAAACGAAGAAAGAATCTTGAAGTAAAAGCTAGCGACTTTCAGAGTCAAGCCAAAGTCCACTTCAATGAACTCCCAAAATGAACTGCAAAATTAATTTCACTAGGTTTTGAATCAGGCTAGTAGCATCTAACTAAAATACAGCTCTCAAAGGATGCACTCACCCTCTGTGCCAAGAGGAGCCATTAGGCAGAACAGCAGCAAGTTAATACTGAATTTCCAGGCTTCTGCCTGGCTGAATGGATCATCTTGAATTGATTTCAACCAGAGATTAATTTATCAGTTATGCCACCCAAGTCAGGCCAGGCAAGATCAGTCACATGCAGTCTCTCTACTGACCTCAGTGAGTTTATATTAGCTAAAATTGTGGCTCGGAGAATTGTGATTTACTTTAGACTTTGCAAAACATTTCATTCTGAAATGCTCAGGACTTGAACTGAAAAGCCACTTTGTTTGCTGTTGGGGAAAAGTGACTCAGAACATAACAAAAGCCATATTTTTCCTGAGTAGAAAGTTTATTTTTTGTGCTTTATAGTATTAAAAGAAAGCAAACCCAAAGGATTATGGAGGCTTTACCCTCGAATCCCTTTTATCCAGAAAGCTCTTCTGAGATAAAGTGAGTTGTTAGGTCTTGCTGTGATTTTTCGCGGATGGATACTAAGGTGATGGTTCCCCAGGCAGGCTGGCATGAGCATGCTGCACTGCCACTGATGCACTGGCTCTTAGGCAACCAATGTTTCAGTGTCTTTTGCTTCCCTTCTCTCTTCTTCCCTTCCCCCTCTTACTCCTCCCTCTTCTTTGTTTTTTCTCTGTATTTCTGCTGACAGTCCAGCTTTCGTCCCTTTCTACGGTCATGACCTTCTCTTGTCAACTCTTGTGCCCTGCTGTCACAGTTAACATGCAGCCTTGGTGTTCTGGACCTTGCTTCTATTCTGAGCTTTGCCACGAACTTCTTGAGTGACTTAGGACCAGCTCCAGTTCCTCATTCCTGTAGCTGTTGCCTCTCAGAGTGGGTATGCTGTCCCAGTCTTTGAGGTCTCCTGGAAGTGACCAAAGAAGAACATCTTAGAGCTAACACAATTGCTATTTCTCTTTACCTCTAAGAGCTTCTTGATGCCACTGCTAACAGGATCCCTCATTATTTTCTTATCATCCCTGCTGTAACAAAAAAAATATTTGTCCTTCTTCCTGAGACCATGGTTTGCTCTTTGCTCAGAGCCTTCACTGTTCTGTAGGACACATAATACTGGAGACTTAACATACCCAACCTGTCTTTATCTCCTGCCTTGTAAAGAAAAGAGTTGATTTCACCTCAAAAGGAGGATTACAGTCAAGTGTGTGACCATAGCTCACAAAGCTGTAAGTTCTCAAGGCTGGATAGCATCAGCATTGTAGCCAAAACAGCAGGGACCTTAAGGCAGGTGATGGTAAATGTCTTCCTGTCTTCTCAGGTGCATTTTGCCATGTGCAAGGAACTCTTTGTGCTGTAGCTGCACATTTGTTACTCTCCATGCTGGCTACCTTAATGGTAACTTTGGTACATCTGTAGCTCATTTCTGATGGTACTGCACATGTAGAGATCTACCATATGCTTTCTTGGAAGGAGGCATTTGCCCCTATTCTCCTCATCTGTGTTACCTCAGAGCAACAGATTCCCAGCCCAGCCTATGCAGCCCCTTTGCAACTTCTTAAGTTTTCCCCTCCCACACAGAATTACGAAATGCAGTTACTGGAAGGAAGGCTCTAGCTATTGAGTCGTAGAGGTTGGATTTGGAAATGCAGCCGAATTAGGGAGATTGGTGCAGGTTAGACATTGGTTGCCACACATATATATACATTCATACACGTATTGCTCCATGTATGTCCATATTTCTCTGTCAAAAAATATGCATATCTAACTTTTTGATATCAAATAGAGTAAAGATGAATCCCCAGAGGAAGGGCCTATTGATAAAAAATTGGCAGAGAAACCTTTGTTACACACCTCTGCCTCAGAGTTGGAAATACTTGGGGAGTGAAGAAAAGCAATGGTCAGAGATCCTTCAGGACACATCAGGTGTCCAGGCTAATGCTGGCAAACAGTGATGAGCTTCAAATGCAAGTGAAAGCGTGAGAGGGTGCTCAGCGTGTTTCAGCTGAGACCTCATCTTATTAGTATTCATAACCAAAAACACCCACAGTGGTAAAAGTTACACAAACAACCACATAATATGTTGAGAAATATGACTTAGTCTTCAGGACCTTCAGAGCAATCAGGTTAGTAATTTGAAGCACAAACCCAGGTAAAAAATTACTTACAGCACCACGCAAAATCTCTCAGTGGGGCAGGATCGAGAAGAGAGGGTGACCCAGGGCACGGGTCATGCCCTCGACTGCCCACACTCGTGCTGCAGAGCCAAAGGTTTCCTGGGTAGCCCCAGGGAAGTCGCTCAGCTGCCCTGGGCCACAGCTCCCCATCTGCGACACAGAGATACGAGGATTGTGTGACAAGAGCAGTGGGAGGATAAATGCAGCACAGACTCTCAAGCACTCAGATGTGACATGATCTAGAAACGCCTTGTTGAGATTTGAGTGTCAAGTGCGGTGTTAGGGTCTTTCTGTATACAAATACCAGACGTGTAGCTGTTGTCTTGAATGTTATCAACTTGCCTGCCATAGATTTAGTTTTTCTTTTTGGTTCAGCTGTCATGTTTTGTGCTTTTTACTTTACAAAGAAAATGGATTGTCATTATTCAAATAGTAACTATCTAACCACATCTGACACTCAGAACTGTCTGCTTGGTACAGCAGCTCTAAATTAGTTTTGGTGCATCAGTAATCTTTAATGGGGAGGAGAAAAGCAAGGCAGATGCTTGTGTAGTGGTTTATCAGACTGCTGATCAGCAGAGATGTTTTATAGCAAACTCATGTATCTCACACAAAATTTGAGACATGGCAGGTATTTCCTCAGAAGGCGGATCTGCAGGGTGTGCAATGTGGTGCTTGTAAATCACCCAGCACTTTCAATCACCTTCAGTATGAGCAATGTGTTAATTTGTACAGTTTTGCTCCCCACCACAGTAACCATTGCTCTAATCATGGGTCTAATCCAAGACTATTCAGAGTGTGTCAGTTCCCTACATTTTCTTTTTGTGATCTTTCTTTCAACACAAAAATGTGCAGTCTGTCCTCACAGTGGCGTGAAATGAAGTTCAAATCCCTTCTTTCCTCCATGTTCAGGAAGAATCTTTATTTTCTGGCCAGCGTTTTTCTCCTGACGCTGGTAGCTGTTAGACACAAGCCTGAGCAGGGTGTACCTCCAGGAAACCCTGGGTCTCCTGGGGACCCAAGAAGCAAAGCTACTGTGTCAGCCCTGAGGAAGCAGCTTCTGGGGGCTGAGCTCTTTCCTGCTGGCTTTGGTCTCTCTCCGCCTGTGTGCAGCCCACTCTGGTTCCGTGTGTTCCTCGGGGGGACGGGCGTGTGCGTGTGGTGAAAGCAGAGGGTCAGTACAGCCAGGAGGGAAGGCAGGACACAGGGTCCCCCATTGCAGCCAGCGTGGCCTGTAGGGCTTTGGCTCGGGTCCCAGCACGTTGAGAGCATCCTGCTCGCCCTCCCCAGCCCTTGCACAGCGGATAGAGAAGGGGGTGGCACGAAGCCAGCTCTGTCAGCTTGCTGCCAGCTAGGGATTTCCCTGTGCCGGGAGAACCTCTGCCGCACTTAAAGGCCGTTTTAAGCCCTCCATCTGTCAAGAGTAGTGGAGAAGCACTAGCGGGGACCAGGGGTCCCTGCCTGCCTGTAGAGAAGCTGCTTTTCTCTCTTAACACGGTATTGATTTCTTCCCCAGAAAGCACAGAAGGCAGTGGCTTGAGGAGCATGCTTTAGTTCGATTTGCAGTTGTTTTCATCATGTATCCGTGCAGAGTAAAATAGCAATACAGGACAGAGGGGGACATGTTCCTGTTTCCTGGCATTTCAGGCAGGGATGAGTTTGAATGTTGCAAATGGGCTGTGGTTCAGTTAGAGCAATAATTTGGATCTAAAAAAACCATGCTCTGGTTTTAATTAGGACTACTTCTCATAGAAGGTGTGGTCATTTCTGCTTAGGCAGAGTTTGACTAAGAGTGAAGCATGTATGTTCTCAGAAATATTTCTCTCAAACAATATAGCAAACCTATGTGTTCATCAGACTCATTCTTGAAGCTCTGTCTCAGTTTATTCCAGATTTTCTGTTCTCTATTGGGATCTTACAGCACTCTGTGGATACACTACTTGCTTTGTATTTGTATCTCTGCTATTACGTGTTTGTCAGATTAGGACCTAAGCGGCCCAGTCATATGCCAGAGTCTTGCTTTTCTAGAGGCAATACGAAAAAAAAAGGCAGGAA